AGAGAGAGAGAGAGAGAGAGAGAGAGAGAGACAGAGAGAGACAGAGAGAGAGAGAGAGAGACAGAGAAGCACTTGAAAAGTATGTGATAAATGAAAGCTCTCCCTGATACCCCTGTACACACTGTATGTACCAGCATAGAGGGGCTTCCACAGGGCTTTCATACAAACTGCACTGTGCTTGAAAAATATACTTTCCATTGAGATGATACATCTCCTTCACATCTGAGCTCACTCGTTTTCTCAGAGAAACCTCCTTTAGGTCTTTTCAAATCTATGAGACTAAAATATTGCAAATATTTCTTTTTCAGCACCATCATGTGGTGGTTTAGTTTCTTACTGTGTTTCTCAGTGAGACTGTAAATAAACCTCTTGCCAATTAGGACTTTGTTTTATTCACTGCTGTATTTCCAGTACCTGAGGTTAGAGTTTACTAGACATGAGTTGAATGCATAAAATATTTTTTCACTCATCATTATTAACGATGTTTATTTTTATTGTAAATGATTTTTATTATGCCTTTGAGTAAAAAAAAAACCCTTTTTATGGATCAAAATATAGCATTTTAACCCAGTGTGAAAATGTTTTGATGGTATGACTGATGTAGCTATTTCTCTTTCTTTTTTAGGGAGATGAGGATCATATTGTTAGTTTATGTTACGAGACCATTCGTGATAACCATTCAGTATTACTTTTTTGTCCATCAAAAAAATGGTGTGAGAAAGTAGCAGACATCATTGCCCGAGAGTTTTATAATCTGCACCATCAACCTGAGGGTGAGTGGCAGGTGGAAACGGAGCCTCCATCCTTTCTTCTTTCTTTCTTTCTTTCTTTTTTTTTTTTTGTAAAACATCCACTATTTATTAACGGTTGTTCTTCTAAAAACACAAACATGAGAACTGAGCACCACATCCACAGTGACTCACGCCTACAGCTAGGGAGACACCAGGACAGAGGCGATGGGGCTTTCCTATCCTTTCTGTATTTGACAGTAGTACTAGTGATGATAGTAGCAAAGCATGGCTCTGGCCTGCCTCTATGTGACACTGTGTGTCACCTAGATATTCTCGACAAGACTGCTTTTGTTGTTCTAATCTTTTTGTGTCCTCTTCATAGATAAGTGTGCATATTCTCAGGCTAATTGTCTTCTGACTTTTAGAGTACTGTGTATATGTGTATAGGTTCTTCATTTTGGATCTGTGGGCTTTGAGAGATTCAAACTCTAGAGCCCCTAAATTGTATGCAAAATTCCACATTCATACATTTTTTTTTTCTAGAGAAAGTGACTATGTCTTTCTTTAATGTCCAGAGGTATAACTCTAAAAAGAATCATACATATGTATACATGTAGATAAAATCAGCTTTGGCATTGCATATTTTATGCATAATCTAATGCTTCATTTGAAGTGTGTAATTTGATGAATTTTAGTGTGTAGATCGGCTTATCCACCACTATTATAATCATCTGGAGACTGTTTCTTCCACTCTCATTGTGCTCTTTTCTGCCAGTCTCCTCTCTCTGTTGTCAGCTGCAGCAACTGCTGACGTGCTTTCTGTCACTTTCAGATTGCTGTGCCTTTCCTAAACATTTCACATAAGTGACGTCACACAGTATGTGTATCTTTTGTAAACAGCTTTTATCACGCAGCATGTTTTTGAGTTCCTTTCAAGGTATTGCATTGATGAATTTGTTCCTTTTAAATGCTGTCTACTACAATAACTATTACTATGTGTTTTTTTTTGTTTTTTTTTTTTTTTTTTTTTTTTTTTTTTTTTTTTTTGACAGGGTTTTTCTGTGTAGCTTTGCGCCTTTCCTGGAGCTCACTTGGTAGCCCAGGCTGGCCTCGAACTCACAGAGATCCGCCTGGCTCTGCCTCCCGAGTGCTGGGATTAAAGGCGTGCGCCACCACCGCCCGGCTTACTATGTGTTTTTACTGATTGTAGGATGGACGTTGTAGCCTCAACATTTTTCCTAGCATGTGGTCATGTGGGATCTTTGCTCATTCTGACATCTGATTCTCTCAAAGGTGTTTCTGTTGCTTGCTTTTGCTCCTGTGTTGAGGCCATACTTTCTTTCATGACTCGTATTTTTTTGAATTCTGGACCTTTTAGAGATTATATCAACTCTGAATATTGTTTCCTTTTTCTCTTGTCTCTGTTTATTTTATTTATTCTTTCTAGGAAATTTTACAACATACTTGATTGTATCTTGAATATTGAAGGTGAATGTATCTATGATGAAAGAGTTTTGTGAAATTGAGTTTGTATGTTTAGTACTCAGTTTCCCTCCTTACCCACCCCTTCTCTCCCTGTCACTCACTCCTCGTGTCTTAGAAGTGAGTTACTTTGAAATAAAGGATGTTTTCGTATAATGAGTTATTATCACTGAGATTTTCTAAAGCTGGAGGCCATTGTCTTTGCAGTGAAGTTCTAGAACTGCAGACCAGATCTAGTCATGGGATATTAGGGTATTTTATTACTTCTTTTTGCCAGTGAGTGGCATCATGAGGGTAGGCAGTCAGTATTCCAGCCTTGTAACAAGGAAGCTTTGCTGGTGTTTGTACTGACTGCTGTTTGGTCCAGCAGTGTGTTACCAGTGTAGAATCTCTGCCAGGCCGTCTTACCTGGTGCTGTCTATACCATGCTAACGTATACTCTTACATTGTTCCATGACAACTTACTCTTTGAGGATCAGAGTCTTCATCATGTTCTTTTGAGTTTTGTTATTTTGATTTGTAGTGGTGGTTCCTAAATGCAGAGTTTGGATTGTAGGCTGGTCTGGTCTGTTTATTTTCTCCATAAAAATAGAGTAGCACATTTTTATAAACGAGTTTAAAATTTGGAATTATCTTACTAATTTTTTAACGTTAAAATGACTTCCTTTGGGTTGAGGAGGTAGCTCAGCTGTGAAGTTCTTGCCTTGCAAACACAGAGACATGAGTTTGATTTCTAGAACCACATTAGAAGAAAAACACAAAAGGTGAGCCAAGGCTTAGTGCTATGTTTGTAATCCTCGCACAGGGGTGGTGGTGACAGGTGGTGTTGGTTGTCCAGCCTAGTTGACTTGGAAAGTTCCAGGCTAGTGAGGGACCTTGCCTCAAAAAACAGATGAAGATACTTGAGCAGCACTTGAAGTTGTTCCCTTCTCTCCACATGCATGTGCGCACAACATGTTCACCTTCACACACATGAACACATGCATGCACATACACACATATAACACTTCTCTTGAAATATACTGATGGGTAATAACTTAATATACGTTTATTGTCTTTCACAAAATAAAGCATGGGCAACCCTATGTGTATCCTCAGAATTTTAAGAAAAGTTTACCTAAAAATTAAAAACACAAAATATACATTAAAATAGTTTTTTAATGAAGCTTTATAAGTTTGGGAATCCAAAAGTCTTGGCAGTTCTTTAAGAAAGTAGGGTTCCTGTGTTTAAACTCTTACTAGGGGAGAAGTAACACTAAACGGCCACAATGGAAGGTACCGAGTGACTATTAGATTAATGACAGGAGCCAGAACAATTTCCAGAGAGAGCTAGGGTCCTACGCAGCTGATGTACAGGTTGGCAGGACACATCTTAAACAAGGATTCTGATGTGTAGGCTTTGCTTGGTATGTTAGTTACTTTATTGTCACCGTGACAGAAGCAACTTAAGAAAAGAAGGCTTATTCTGGTTCTTGGTGTCAGAAGGTACAAGTCCTTCATGGTGGGGAGATTTGAGAGACTTCATGGAGGCAGAAGAAGTGGGTCGGCAGCAGGCAGGAAGCAGGTGGCTGGGCTAGAACCACAGGTGGGCTTTACTCTTAGAGGTGTACCTCCAGTGGCCTCACCTGCTAAAAGCTCCATAACCTCCTAAAACTGCCACTGTCTGGGGACCAGGTATTAAAACATGAGCCTGCAGGGAGCATTGTATACGCAAATAAAACAAGTGACAGTCTGTCTTTCCTCCAGCAGGAGCCCTTTGATCCCCTCATTTGAACATCTTGTCTTCTTAAAGCTGAGCTTCATAACTTTGGGATACATTATTAGAACTACCTATGAAGATTTACTTGAGGTCCAAGTCACATCCCATCTTGGTTGTATCATAGTGTCCTGGGTCAGTGGCTCTAAAAGATCCATTGGTGATAATAGTGTGTGGCAGTTTCTGAACCTGATATTTATTTCTGTCATGACTTAGCAGGTAACAGCCAATGAAGCAAAGAAACTTGTACAGTTGTGATTTACTTATTTGTGTGTGCGTGTTTGACAGGATCAGTAAAACCATCTGAATGTCCACCAGTGAATCTACAGCATAAGAGCCTTCTGGAAGTGCTGGATCAGCTAAAGCGCTCACCTGCAGGACTGGACTCCGTGCTGAAGAACACCGTGCCGTGGGGAGTAGCATTTCATCATGCAGGTATTCCTTGTTTCTAATCTGTGTTAAGATGTACTCATCACAGGCTGGAGCCATGATTGATTAAGAGCACTTGGGTTTGATTCCCAGGACTCGTGTAGTGTTTGCCTGTAACTCCAGTTCCAGGCATCTGATATGCCTTCTTCTGGTCCCTGTGGGCTCCTGTACACATGTAATGCACATATATTCGTATGGGTTCACACTCAAACATATAAAATAATAAAATATAAAAAAATTTAAAGACCTCACCAGACTTTTATAATTTCTTCATTTTTTTATTTATGTGAATTTATTTCTTGTTAATCACATTGGATACTTGTATATTTTATTTTAAGAAATAGCGGATTTAGTCAAACCAGAGTAAAACAAACTTTTTAAGCTTACTTATCTGAATTTTATATCTATGCTAGATAATGGAATTTTTTTTCCAACCCCTGGGAAAGTGAATTCTAAAATCTTACCTGTCTATATATTGTTTCCTTAAAATTGATGTTAGAGTGATACTTTCTACTTAAATTTGATGCTATTGTTTCTTTTTATGTCAAGAATTGGCATAGGCTCACAGATACAGCAAAGTCAAATTTGTTTTGGAAATTGTCATTGAATCGGAGAGGACTAGAAGTGAAAAATCCTCAGCCAAGCACTGGGCCGAGTTCTGAGAGTCCTGGTGAAGAGAGGGAGGAGGATTGTATGAGCTATGGGGGACAAGATCATGATGGGGAAACCCACAGAGACAGCTGACCCCAGCTAGTGGGACCTCACTGACTCTAGACTGACAGTTAGGAGCCTACATGGGACTGACCTAGGCCCTCTGCATGTGGGTGACAGTTGTGTAGCTTTGTCTGTTTGTGGGGCCACTAGCATTGGGACCAGGATCTGTCCCTGACACATGAACTGACTTTTTGGAACCTATTCTCTATGGTGGGATGTCTCTCACAGCCTTGATGCAGTGGGGAGGAGCTTGTTCTTGCCTCCACTCAATATGCCATGCTTTGTTGACTCCCATCGGAGGCCTTAACCCTTTCTGAGGAGTGAGTGAGGGGTGGGGTGGAAAGGAGATGGGGGGATGGAATGGAGGAGAGGAGGGAGGAGAAACTGTGACTGGCATGTAAAATAAATAAAAAATAATAATAATTAAAAAAACAATCTGGTGGGTGGGCTGTCAGAATCACCAGTGTATGATAGTTATTGAGTGATGTGCTGGATCTGTGATCATACATGTTAAGATTGAAATCATAAGAATGTTTTCTTCAACAAGTATCTCAGAGGTTGTTATAAATTTGAAATGTGATCATGAGTGAAAAATCTGTGAACCCCATATATAATTTCTGGTTAATAGGTGCTTAATAAATACTGGTGTGGAGAAGAAAAAAAAGAATATTTTTTAAGATTGGACATTTAATCCTTAGTTTTTATTTAACTTTTTATCTTATATAATAGATACATATAATTTTAATGATAAATAACCATGGTAAAATTTTAAAATGAATTTTAAAAATGTTTATGTGTAAATACATATCCACACACAAAACACAGGGATTGTTAATCAATAGTATGCTGTTAAATTTAACTTGCTATCTGTTCTTACAACTAAAATTTTATTGGAACACAGTCCCACTCACTTGATCTGCTGCTGTTTTCTTTTAACAAAAGCAGGATAGTTTCAGCAGAAACCATCAATTCTACTTAAAACATAGGTAATTTTGCTGACCTGTCTAAAAATGTCTAAAGATGACAAATTATATTCTTAAATAGGTAGACTGATGATGTTTTTGTTTATAATCTTAACTGTTGTATAAAAGATCTTTAAAGGCTTGAAGCTGACTCTCAAATCTGCTTATCTGTAGTCAAGTATATTGATTCTGTGGTAATGTGTTTTGGGACCTGCATGTTATTTAGGTCTCACTTTTGAGGAGAGAGATATCATTGAAGGAGCCTTCCGTCAAGGTCTTATTCGGGTCTTGGCAGCAACGTCTACTCTTTCTTCTGGGGTGAATCTTCCTGCACGCCGGGTGATTATTCGCACTCCAGTTTTCGGTGGCCAGCCTTTAGATATCCTCACTTACAAGCAGATGGTTGGCCGCGCCGGCAGGAAAGGAGTAGACACAATGGGTGAGTTTGGGGATAGTTGTCACGCTATTGCTGACAGCCATCTACTTGGAAGTTGACTAATACATGGCTATTTCCCATCGTGATAAGTTTCTGTATTGTGCAGTGCACTAATGCCGTCTTCTTGGGTTACTTAATATTTATAGTGAATATGATTTTCATTTGTTAACTATTGCTTTTCTCCTAGTAGATAATTAAGATCTTTCTTTTGTGTTGTGTGTAGTGAAATGATTCAATACTATATAAGTAACAAGATTTATGATTTTATTAGTTAGAAGATGATTTTATTTCCACATCTACTCCCTTTTTCTCTTTTTTCAATAGGTATGGTGTATGTGGGTGTAGGTGCCCTTGCCTGTGCCCGTGTGCATTTAGATCAGAGGTCCACCCTGGATATTTTCTCTTTTCATTCTCCATCTTATTTTCTTATTTCAAATATTTTATATTTTTATGTACATGTGTATGTCTGTGATAGGGTATGCACATGTGAGTGCACTTATCTGCAAAGAACAGAAGAGGGTGGTGGAACTCTTGGAGCTGGAGTAATAAACAGTTTTGAGTTAACCAGAGTGAGTGCTGGGAATCAAACTCAGTTCCTCTGGAAGAAGTCTTCTTACTCATTGAAGCTTCTATCCAGGCTTCTTCCACCTTAAATTTTGAGACAGGGTGTCTCATTGAACCTGGAATTTGTCATTTCTCCAGCAATCCCCCAGGAGCTGTTTGTCTGGGGCTACAGGTGGAGGCCACCACACTTGGCTTCTATGTGGGTGCTGGGGGATGAGCTCAGGTCTTGATGCTTGCATAGTAAACACCTGAACCACTGGTCCGTCGTCTCCCTAGCAGCTCATGTAGACCTTCTAGTGTTTAATTTTAAGTCAAGCAGAGTGCGAAGAGCTGAGGAGTATTACTTTTGTCTCTAAATTGATATAGCGTCTAACTTTGCACCAGCAAGTAATGATGCTATTATCAGCAATCCAAACAAAAGTTTTGACTTAAGCAGTGAAGTAGTTTTTTAATTAAATATCTAAAAAAGAAGCAAAAGTTACTTCAGATATTATTATTCTATGTAAGACTAATTGCTAAATGGTAATCAGTGATTACCACTCTTAAGGTGGTGGGACCTGGGAGATGGAGTCTAAAAATGAGGTGTTCTAAAGTCTCATGCAATAGCCAGCTTTATTCAGAGCGTCAGCCAATTGATACTGAGGATTAAGAAGAGTCACCTGAATAAAGTGTGCAGTCACAAGGACAAGCTGCACATGGCAAAAACATGTTTTTCCTTAGAGGCATTAAACAAATAACAATAGCTAGTTAATGAATAATCTGAAGTAAACTAACGTTTATCTACTACACATGGGAGGGACACAAAAGCACATTTCAAGGACAACCTATGCTGTGGAGGAACAGAGACCACAAGTCTCTTGTCTTGTTTACTTGGAGTTTTCTCACAAGCATTCAGAATTCCCATCACATGACTCTATTCTTGAACCACGCTCTGACAGTCAGGACTTCCTATTACATTTGTAATTTATTTCCTTGTATACTCTTTCTTCCTTGGTTTCTGTCTTTGTGGTTTGATGGTTTTCTCTAGTGTCTGCTTTAGATTTTTTCCATTCTAAAACTTACATAAAATATGAAAGGGTAGATAAAGATGTTAGTAAGCACCCCAGCCAGGGAACCAGATGCCTAGACAACCAGTATAAAAACAGTCAATAATAGCCAGAACAATGGCTCCCTTAGAGCCCAGCAACCCTACCACAGCAGGCCTCAAGTGTTGCAACATAGATGAAGCACAAGAAGAAGACTTTAAGGCCGGGCGTTGGTGGCACACGCCTTTAATCCCAGCACTTGGGAGGCAGAGCTGGGTGGATCTCTGTGAGTTCGAGGCCAGCCTGGGCTACCAAGTGAGCTCCAGGAAAGGCGCAAAGCTACACAGAGAAACCCTGTCTCGAAAAAC